GCCGACCACTCAGAGCCGGGAGAGCCCCGCAGACGGCCTCGCGGGCTCCCGGGGCAGGCCACATGGTGAGAGCTGGCGCCCTGAGCATAAAGGATGGCGGGACTCCTGTGCGCAGCGGGTGGGCAGCCGCAGGGCCAGGCCTCGCCCGGAGACGCCCTGCCCACGCTGCGCAGCGGCTGCGGTCACAGGGCAGCACCCGGGCTGTCCTGGAGGAGACGGGCCTGGACGAGGCGGGGGCAGTGGGGGCGGCGGGGATCCCAGAGCTTGGGACGTAACGCCCCTAGGGCCCGGCGCCCCACCGCTTCACGTACCCCCGGAGACCTGAGAAGGAGTCGCGAGCGCTGTGCTCCTGCCTGGGAAGTGGCCAGCACGCAGCAGGCCAAGCGGCAGTGCCCCCAGCATGCCAGTGGCCACCTGGCACCTGCCAGACCGGCCAGGTGGGCTTCAGGAGGGCGGCGGCCCGCCCCCACCCCCAAGGCTCCCGGGGGTCCACCTCAAGACGGCAGGGGCGGGGGTGCCGGGGCGGCGGGCACAGTCAGCTCTACGCGAGGCCGGGTGCGGCGCAGCAGTGGCAAGCAGAGCGCAGAGGTGGCGGCAGCGCCGGGGCAGGCCTGTCTCAGGCCCCCTCGAGCACAGCAGCACCGGGGCGCGGGGCTCCGGGCAGCCGCCTGCCAGCCCACAGCTCACGACTGTTTGGTATTGAAGATCTGGGCGCAGGCTGGAGGTGCAGGACTGGACGGACTCCCAGAGACGGAGTGGGGAGCAGAACAGGCGGATGCACGGAGACCGACCACTGAGGGCACAGCGGGGCAGGAGGGGCCCGCTGCGCCCTGGGCTCGCGCCCTGGCCGGCGCCGACTTGGGCTGCAGCGCTGACGGCCTGAGACCCCTTGGCGCCGGGAGGCTCCACGCACACCCGCGTGTAAAGCCTGCGCGCCACGCTTCCAGGTGGCAGAGTGATGCGACCACCCCTGGCAACGAACCCCCTGCCCCACGGCCCCACCCCGGGCGCAGGCTGCTGTCCTGGGCCTGCGTGCCGCCAGGCTCCTGCGAGCCGGTCTCCGAGGCGCCTTCTGGCACCTGCTTCTCCTGCGTGCCGCCCACGGTCCAGGCTCAGCCCGGGCCGCGGATGGGCTTCGCCTCTGTGGCTGAAGACCCGGAGTGTGGCGGCCCCTGTCTGAGCCAGCACCTGGGGCTCACTGTGCTCTGCGTGCTGCAAAGACTGGACACACCGTGGACGCCACTGCGTGGACATGCTTTTGTCCGTCCTGCAGACACTCTGCAGAGGACACGTGGCCGCAGGGCAGGGCAGACCTGCCCCTCCGCTGTCAGGAGTGGCCACTCCTCCCTCGCAGTGGCCCCCACGCCGCCGGCGGTGCCAAGGGCGCCCAGCTCCCCACACCCTCGCTTGGCACGACGTTTCCTTTGTTTTTAAAGTAGTCCCTATGGCTGCTGCAAGGAACTTAAGTGAATCTCGTCCAGTGGACTGCCAGCCACAAACTGCAGGTGAGCGGGAAGAACACCTGAAAACCCCTCACGACGCAGGAGGCAGGGGCCCAGCACCGAGGCCCTGCCACGCCCCTGGAAGGCGCCGTGG